CGAGCTTGGCCTCGGTCTCTGCGGCGCTGCAGGCCCCCCCCCCCCTCGTCCCCCCTCCTCCTCCCTCATCTCTCCTCCTGCCTCATCTCTCCTCCTCCCTCCTCCTCCTCCTCCCTCCCCTCTACTCCTCCTCCTCCTCCTCCTCCTCCTCCTCCTCCTCCTCCTCCCGATATGGTTTCTCCTCCTACTCTCTCTGCTCCGCCTTCTTCTCCTGCTCCTCCTGCTCCTTCTTCTCCTCGTGTTATTGCTTTTGATAGTTATCCGTATCCTAAGTATTCTTCATCTTATTATCCGTATGATTAATGTTATGGTGTGTAGCGATCCTTGTCATACTTTGTATTGGTATTAATAATTTTAGTTTCAGAGGCATCCTTCATTGTATGACCATGATCCGCAATAGTACTACTACAATGTGTGTTATTACTGTTTGTAACATGTTTATTCGTATCAAGCGTATGCTTCGTGTTCTTATTCGTACTATTAATAGTATGAGTCGCCTTCCTGCTTAGTATTGGTATTTCCGCTAATCATAATACTGTCAGTCGTATGCATAGTCTTGTTATTAGCTCTTGTATTACGATTAATCTTAGCGAGCGCGATTAATATAACTAACATTTGCATTCTCAATCACCGTGCCATTATGAATGAGAATGGCATTCGCATTCATAGTATTACTAAATAGTGCTAATGTAAACATTCGTAAGATTGATAGTCGTTTTCTTATTAGTATTACTCGTGTTAGTCGAGGTACAGTCGCAGTGTTATTAGTAGTCGTTGTGTGTTCGTGCTCGGTTTGGTCGTATAGTGTGGTGCGATGCGTGTATGTGCAATCGTCTTATTGGTATTAATACTTCATCTTATACGTGCGATTCGTATTCGTCATAGTCTTAGCATTAGTACCAGTATGATGATTTTAGTCATATAATACGATGGCTACGAGTACTACGATCATCTGCAATACCATTTGTCTTACGACTACTACTACTACTACTACTACTACTAATACTACTACTACTACTACTACTACTACTACTACTACTACTACTACTACTACGGCTACTACTACTTCTATGTCTACTTATATTTCTACGTATAGCTATACTTATACTTATACTTCTACTTATACTCTTACTACTACTACTACTACTACTACTACTACTACTACTACTACTACTACTACTACTACTACTACTACTACTACTACTACTACTACGACTACTACTACTACTACTGCTACTACTACTACGACTACTACTACTACTACTACTACTACTACTACTACTACTACTACTACTACTACTACTACTACTACTACTACTACTACTACTACTACTACTACTACTACTACTACTACTACTACTACTACTACTACTACTACTACTACTACTACTACTACTACTACTACTACTATACTACTACTACTACTACTACTACTACTACTACTACTACTACTACTACTACTACTACTACTACTACTACTACTACTACTAATGCTACGACTACGACTACGAGTAACACTACGACTGTCACTACCACTGCTACTACCCATAGTGATCATCTTAGTAGTAGTGGTATCAATAGTTGTACGTTAATTTTGGCCCGACTGTCTCATATCACTATTTTACATTATTTCACGTTTTTCTCTATTATTCATGTTAGTATGGTAATAGTATGATTACTGCCCGCCTTTACCTCAATAGTGTCAGTGTTAATATAAAGACTATCATGAGAACTGGTACGGGTTTTGCTATCGTTAGTTGCCGTTGTCAAGCAAGCCACGATAGGGGCTCAAGAGCGATCCAAGAGTGCGGGCCAATCGGCGCCAGACAGATGGCCCCAGTCCTTGGATTGATGTGTTTGGTCTTCTCGCCTTGACTGGATTCAATGGACTTCTCTGGCCCAAAGTACAACCCTGAGAGGGCCCCGAACCCCCACAATAGATCACTAAGAAAGCCCCAACAGGTCCCAAAAGAAGCCGAAGCACGGGTCAGAGGGTGCAAACCTAATATTTGACCCGAAGGTTGGCCCTCTCCTCAGAGACTCCCAACAAGCTATCAGCATTTAGAAAGAATCGGCTGTTGGCTATCATAGCGTTATCGATCGCGCGGGCTCCATTGGGTTTCTCGGGCCCCAAGGTGTCCCCAAGGGAGCGTCAGCATGGTGCAAAGGAGTCCTCAGAGGGCCCCAGAACCCCACCAGGGAGCCAAATGAGGGCTCCGGGAGAAGCCCAGAAGGGCCCGAGATCGACTCAAGAGCGGGGGCCAATGGGCGGCAGGCCTCAGGATGACTACAAATCTTGTCCCAAGCCAGCCCCAAGGGGAGGCTCCAAGATGGCCCAAATGTGGTCAGAAATTGTCCAGGGCCCCAAGAGGCCCCCCAGATGCCCCAGAAGCGCCTGAGACGCCCCCAGGCACCCCCCTGTGCTGAAGCCTCCCAGAGGCCCGCAGCAGTCTCACAGGGTGGTCGGACAGCCCATTTTCGGGCTTCGCTGCCGAAACGTGAGTGGGAACGTGCCCGTTGAGTAGTGCACTCAGTATACCAAAAGAGACTGCTTCTCAACCACGCGAGCTTCACACGACGGCTTGTATAAACTACCACCACACAGCAATTTCTCAATGCCCAGGAGCATTCAGGAAACTGGCGAATAGCAAATAGTAAGAATGATACAGTATGAGCCAGAGGAACGCAGTGAGCACGCAGGAGAGATAAGTCGCGAGGAAGAGGAAAGGATCAGAACGAGAAGAGGAGAAACATTTTGTTCAGTCGGAAAATAGGGCCAGACCTAGCGAAGGCTGTGGATCTATATTGCTTCAGCCCAGAGGACGGAAAGTCAAACCTGGCAACCAACAGAAGTCTTAGCACGCGTGTCCGTCCTCGAACTCCTCCTCGTCCTCCTCTCTCCTCCTCCCTTCTCCGAGCTTGGCGACCGTCTTGACGCGCATTGTCTCCACCACCCTCACAGTGGCAAAAGAGCGGCACTGTACGATACTCGACCGTCGGGTCCGGTAGCCACGTGGGGGCTTCGCTTGAATTCGCTGCTCGTGCAAAAAAGGCTGTACACAACACAGTGCGCGCTCGTGGAGCGGGCACTCGGCATGGGACACGAGCGGAGAGCAAAAAAAAGCAAGCATACGACTACTACCCACCTTCCGTCCTACCTACCTTACCTACCTCCTACCTTTCTACCTACCTACCTACCGACCTACCGACCTACCGACCTACCGACCTTCCGACCTACCGACCTACCGACCTACCGACCCAGCGACCTGCCGACCTACCGACCTACCCTCTAGTATTACTAACTACCACTATTATCCCCCCCCCACACACACACAAAAAAAACTCCCTGCCCTACAGCACCCCCCCACGCACACCCCGCGCTCCCTAAGCCACCCAACTTTCGGGGAAACGTAAGACTCGGGTACGGGGGACTCGGGCTGGCCTGACGGGGCAATCATAAAAATAACGAGACCCAATCTGAAATTTGACGCGAGCTCCCGCTGCAAACATCCCACGAAAACTGGACCGTCTAAATCCAGGTCGCGCTCGTCTCTAACGCCTGCAAACCCGAGGTCCAGCTTACTCGAGTCTTACGTTTCCCCGAAACTTCGCGCACGTCGCGCCCCACCCTCCCCCGGGGCGCGGTTATGCCCCCGGCGCCCTCGCGAGGCCGCCTCTTTGCACCCGGGCGCGCCTCTCATCCTCCTGCTCCTCCCCCTCCTCCTCCTCATCCTCATCCTCATCCTCCTCTTCTTGTTTCTCCTCCTCCACCTCCACCTCCGCCTCCTCCCTCCGCCTCCCCTCCTCCTCCTCCTTCCTCCTCCTCCTCCTCCTCCTCCTCCGTTTCTTCTCCTCCTCCTCCTCCTCCTCCTCCTCCTCTCCCTCCTCGTTCTCTCTCCTCCTCCTCCTCCTCCTCCTCCTCCTCGTCCTCCTCCTCCTTCTCCTCCTCCTCCTCCTCCTCCTCCTCCTCCTCCTCCGGGGTAGCTCGGGTTCGGAGTCACGAAAAAAAAACGAGCCCGAGTTAGCACTTACCCGAGTTACCCCTGATGATCTGGGGCTCTTGGCGCCCGAGTTATCCGGGGCAGCTCGGGCCCAGGGCAACTCGGGTCTGGATTCCCGAACCCGAGTTAGCCCTGACCCGAGTTACCCCTGATGATTCGGGGCTCTGACTATAGGCCCACCACAGAATGTTCTCAGAACCCAGAAACCCGATGTGCTGAAACGAGACAGCCTCAACCCGTATCATCAGGATGGGCAGTAAGGTATGCAAGGGCCTCTGGAGGCCGTGTGGACGTCTTCCGAGCGAGACTGGCCAGCGAAGGCCGCCGAGGATGGGCCGAGGAGGCAGGGATGCAAGGGGTACCCTCGGGAAGGCTGCCCATCCTTACTCTGCGGGCTGACTGCACCGTCTGCGCACTGGGATCCCCGTGGCCATGCCCTTGGCGACACCGGCTCTCGAAGCCCTCCTCCTCCTCCTCCTCCTCCTCCTCCTCCTCCTCCCTCTTCCTCCTTCCTCCTCCTCCTCCTCCTCCTCCTCCTCCTCCCCTCCTCCTCCTCCTCCCCTCCTCCTCCTCCTCCTCCTCCTCCTCCTCCTCCTCCTCATTCCTCCTCCTCCTCCTCCTCCTCCTCCTCCTCCTCCTCCTCATCCCTCCTCTTCTTCCTCCTCCTCCTCCTCGACGGCCTCGCCCAGGGCGCATGCCCAGGTGGCAGGTGGCTTCCGGGCCTTCGTAGTTCGGGCATCCAGCTGCCGTCCGGGACGACTCGGGGACACTCCCTCTTGCATCCCATCCCCTCTCCTCTGCTCCTCCTCTCCTCTCCTCTCCTCCTCTCTCCACTCTCCTCTCTCCTCTCTCCTCTCTCCTCTCCTCCTCCTTCCCCTCCTCCTCCTCCTCCTCCTCCTGCCCCTCCTCCTGCTGCCCCACTCTGCGCTGCTCTGCTTTCCACTGCTTCGCATCGCACTGCTTTGCATCTGGTCTGCACTGCGGTGCGCTGCTTTACACTGGCGCAAACAGTTTTGCACAATTTTGCAGTACATGTATTTGCATCGCACTGTACCGCATGACAGAAGGAGCTGTGTTGCTTCGCAATTCTCTCCATCTAGTTGCATTGCAATGCACCGCTGTGCAACATATCGCAAGGCACAGACGTGCATTGCTCTGGTTTGCATGACTGTGCGCCTGATGTCATTCACAGCGTTTTGCCATGCAATGGTACTCACAGAACTCATTACGTCCGAACTGCTGGCATTGCATTGCATTGCATTGAATTACATTGCGTTGTGTTGAAGTGCATGGCGCTGCATGGATCTGTCTTGTTTAGCATGCATTGCATGCTCTTAACTTCGCATTGCGTTAGGTTGCCTTGCATTACATTTGCGTGGCACTGCACTGCAAAGCTATACTTACCCAGACTGTGATTTGCAATGCGGGGCATTTGCATACCTGTTGTTGCATGAAATTGAAATCGTTATGCGTAGTATTGCTCTGCGTCGCAAGGCAATGGCAACGCAATGCAATTGGAAACGAAACACGGTTGCGATGTAATGCGCCTCACAGCACCGTAAAGCACCTCAACTCTAACTCAAATGCTTGCCAACGTGGACCACACACAGCTCATTATATGTATATCTGTATGTATGGTGCATGTTACGTGGTGTAACAGATGTTCCATGCTACCCAACTCGATACATGTGTACATAAATAGATATGCATATACATATGCTCGCCCCTCCCCCCCCCCCAGCGCACCCCACTGCACATTCGATGCCCGCCCGTCGTTTCCGCCCATTCTCACCTCATTCTCCCTCCTTCTCCTCATCCTCCTCCTCATCCGTTTCTCCTCCTCTAACGGGGCAGTGCAGCCTCGGGTTAAGGGCGCTGGTAGTGGCACCGTGGAGGTGAAGGACGTGTTGGTGCCAGGCGGCATGAATTCCATGAGAGTTCTGGTTCGTCTTACGATTCGTAATAGTATTAGCATTGGTGTCGTTAGCATTTGTAGTCTCATTAATATTCTTAGCAGTCGCCCAATTCTTATTCGCATACTGATTATTATTAGTAGTATTGATACGATTGGTGTTATCATTGTCATCATTCGTGTTAATATTACCACTACTCGTACGACTCGTATTAGTAGTTGTAGTAGTAGCATTCGTTTTCGTACTATTATTGGTTCGTTCTTGTTCGCAAGATTAAGGGTATTATTATGTGTTGTCTGATTATCCTCCTCAATCTCCTCTGCCTGCTCATCCTCACCGTCGCGAGGAAGAGGAGGATGAGCAGAGGGAGAAGGAGGGGGAGGAGGAGGAGGAGGAGAAGCAGGGATATAACGGAGGAGCGGCTGCAGCGCAGCATCCCCCTCCGCCTCCTCATTTCCGTCCTGACTCGTTTCTAGCGGCGCGTGGACCAAAACAATACAACAATGCCCAAGCGCCCCCGCGAGCAGTGAACCCGCACACACCTGTGACCCAGCTCTCGCAAGTCGACAGGTTGGACGCCGAGGGGGGGCAAACACGCACTACCAGTCGGACGGATTCTTGGGCGCTCGTCTGTCCCACCGACACGTTGCACACTGTCAGCAAGTGCCTAGCCAATGCCAGCCGTGGGGTGTGACGTTCGCCACATGCTTTTTAGCCGGCTCTCCGGTTTTTGTCCACATCCTGAGTTGGGATTGCTGTTATTGTTTAGGCACCTCCGGCTCCTTCCCTCCTTCCTCATTCTGTCCTCTCCTCCATACCCTTCCCCCCTCCTCTCTCCCCATATATTCAGGTAAGGCTTACTGTTATTACTTAGACGCCGCCGACTCACGCTTCACATCATGTTTCCCCACCGTTTTTCCTATACCCATCAGAGAGGACCCTTGTGTTGTTGGCAAAACGCCTACGACTCACACCTCCGAAACGTCTCTCTACCCCCACTCCTTATCAATCACACTCAGACTCCCTCACACTCTGATTCACTCGCACTCAAACACATATTCACTCACGCTCAGACTCAGATTTGGACTGAACTCACTCAGGCTTAGACTTACGCACAAACGCCTCACACTCAAACTCCTCATCCTCAGAGACTCGCTCGCGCTCGGACTCACTCTCACCCAGACTCACTCGTACTCAGACTCATACGTACTTGGACTCACTCGTTCTCATGTCCGAGCAGAGTGCGCGGATGCTTCGAGCGAGGCGTTGTTTTCAGCACCTCTGCTTTCAGAGCAGATTGTGAGGATGTCTCGAGCGAGGCGCTGCGTCAGCACTCCCACGGGGAAGCCGCCAGGGTATGCGCACGGGTTCCTTCGCGCCCAGATGTCTCAAGCGGTTTGCCTGGTTAGTGGCTTGAACTCTTTTTCGAAGAGACGGTGCCCCGCGTCTCCTCCTCCCGCTGCCCCCTCCCTCCTCCCTCCTCCCCCTCCTTGCCTCTGCTCTCGGCACACCCCTCACACGTTTCGTAGCCCCATAGGGAGCTCCACCGAAGGCCCCAGTGGCTGCTGTCGCATGCGGTTCCCCCACCCAGGGCAGCGTTTCGTTGCCCCATAGGGAGCTCCACCGAAGGCCCCAGTGGCTGCTGTCGCATGCGGTTCCCCCACCCAGGACAGCATTTCGTGGCCCCATAGGGAGCTCCACCGAAGCCCCCGTGGCTGCTCTCGCATGTGGTTCCCCCACCCAGGGCAGCGTTTCGAGGCCTTATAGGGAGCTCCACCGAAGGCCCCAGTGGCTAATCTCGCATGCGGTTCCCCCACCCAGGGCAGCGTTTCGTGGCCCCATAGGGAGCTCCACCGAAGGCCCCAGTGGCTGCTCTCGCATGCGGTTCCCCCGCCCAGGGCAGCGTTTCGTGGCCCCATAGGGAGCTCCACCGAAGGCCCCAGTGGCTGCTCTCGCATGCGGTTCCCCCACCCAGGCGCTTCGTGGCCCCATAGGGAGCCCACCGAAGGCCCCAGTGGCTGCTCTCGCATGCGGTTCCCCCACCAGGGCAGCGTTTCGTGGCCCCATAGGGAGCTCCACCGAAGGCCCCAGTGGCTGCTCTCGCATGCGGTTCCCCCACCCAGGGCAGCGTTTCGAGGCCTTATAGGGAGCTCCACCGAAGGCACCAGTGGCTGCTCTCACATGCGGTTCTCCCACCCAGGGCAGCGTTTCGTGGCCCCATAGGGAGCTCCACCGAAGGACCCAGTGGCTGCTCTCGCATGCGGTTCCCCCACCCAGGGCAGCGTTTCCAAGAGGCGCCCAAGACGGCCCCAAGAGGCCCCCAAGACGGCCCAAGAGGCCTCCAAGACGCTCAAGATGGCCTCCAAGACGGCCCACGAGCCCTCCAAGACGTCCTCCAAGAAGGCCCGAAAGAGTCAAAATGGCCTCCAGGCGGCCAAGATGACCTTCAAGATGCCCACGTGTTCCCCGACGGCTTTCCAAACCGATTCGGGGAACACATGGTCCGATAGCTTGGCAGGTCTGGCCTCAACGTTCGGCCACATAGGCGCTTCCACAAAGGCAGGGGGCGGCGGTGATTCGCCGTAGGCGTCTTCGATAATAGCCCCAATTGAGGTCGCGCCGAATTCGTCCTGGTTTCCGAAAGGGTGGCGTACGTGTACATGCTGGGCCCACGCAACATAAAAACGAGCTTGAATGCCTGGTCGACTACAAGAGGCCAACCGGCCAATGGCCGAGCGAGCGTGAGTACCAAGTCTAAGCGTTGGCACCACGGTGGGAGCAATGGTGCAATGATTCTCTACCATGACCCTGCATACCTGTACAAACGCTTGGAGACAAAAAACGGTGGAAACACACTGCAATATTACCAGATCCAACTGGAGTGATTCATACGAGGACTCGGGCATTGACATGTACGGCACAGCTCTACACATAGTGACGTTCTTCGCCTGGACCGTGATCCTGCAGCGGCTGCTCGTCCTTCCAATGTGGGACTGCCTGCGCTAGATGATGTGTCTGTCTCGCAGAGCAGTCCGAGCGTAGCCAAATAATGATGCCAGCCTTCCAGCCCGAGTGCTCCTGCGAAGTGTGCAGCACCACCTGCCCACCGCACAACCACCAGCTGCCCTCATGAAACTTGTGGCAAGCTGCTGGATCAGAGCACAAAGAATCCCCACCTCTCCTCATCATGTGGGATGCTCATTCTGGGGACCCTCCTGGAGACACTCGCTCCACTCGGGCGTCGAAGCTGCATCGAACGTCCGTCGACTTGAGTCGACCTCGAGCCGAAGCTGCGTCGTACCTGAGTCGAACTTAAGTCGAACTGGAGGCGAACTGCGGTCGGACTAGAGCGAAGAGATCTATTAGGTGGTCCCCAAGAAGGTCCCCGAAACGAGCATCTAAACTAGAAAAAAAACGGCATAAACAGAAATGTGTGGCGCTCCGCGCGGATTTCTTGGATCTGCGCTGGACCCCACTCCCTGGGGCGCGGATCGCGCCAGGGGCGGCGCCAGAGGCGCCGCCCGGGGTCCCAGCGCGGATCCAAGAAGAACTTCGCGCGGAGCGCGGAAAGTTTATGCTTGCTATGTCTATGACGTTTCTTTTTCTTCTTCTTCGATAAATCATGCCTCGTCCACGGGTGGGACGGAGTTTCCAGACACGGTCGCAGGCAACAGGCCAACGCTCGCGGCGAGGACCCGCCCGTAGCGCCCCGCGGCCATGGCCTGGACGTTGGCGGCCACGCGGGCACCCACCTCTTGTGGATGCCATGACAACGGACACCCTAACAATCCTATCATTGAATTAAGACTGTGTTTAGACTGCTCTTAATCTAAACAGGTTTTAAACTTAGGTTTACAAATTTCACACATGTCTTAGACATCCGGCAATTGTTTGGCAACATTTTTCCTCTCCATTGATCGCTGTCCACAAACCACCTGCGCCTCCAGGTCGCTGCCCTCCAGCGCCGCGATCGTCCTCTTGACCGCCAGGTGGCCGTGTCTCGTGCTCGACATGCGCTCGATGAGGCCCGGGGCCCTCGCGATGGCGCGGGCCAGCGCGAGCTGGTCCTCGAGGCAGGCGTGGGCGAGGGCGACGGCGAGGACGGCGGCGCCGTAGAGGTTGGAGCCGAGCCCGGCGACGTCCGCGCACAGCTCCCGCACGACGCGGTGCTGGTGCTCCGCAGAGTCGTGCTCGAGGAGGTGCTGCATGACGTAGTTGCCGTACTGGTGCCGACTCATCCGGTGGGCATTGACCAGTAGGGCCTCGCGCAGCTCCTCCACCTGCGACGGCGCCAGGTGCTCCAAGAGGCGCTGGATGACTCGGCACCCGTACTTGTGCTGGGCGGCGTGAACGACGCCCTTGCTCAGCAGCTCGTCCAGAATGAACTGGGAGTGCTGCGGGGGCATGCTCGTGATACACTTCTGGACGACGTGGTTCGCATGAGGACACTGCATGGCCACCCAGATGCGGCCCCGCAGCTCCTGGCAGGCCGAGAGCCGATCCGAGTGGTTCCATCCGACCAATCAAAAACGTAACAAACTCTTCTGCGGGCAAGATGCTATTATCCATATCCACTACGTCTTGGAAATTCGGACTCCCTTCCTCCGATACCAGGAGGCGCCGTGAAGATGGATAAAACAAGTTCGCTCCTAGAGGTTGGTTTTTATCCATATCCAATGCGCCGCGGCCTGTCGGTGCCCCTCCCAGGTAGTCCAAGACGCAATGGATATGGATATAAATCGTCCCCGCACATACGTTTTCTTGTCATGCCCTTTTCGACCTACATGGTGTTCGCGTCGGCATTGCCGAATGCGCTGCAGGAATTGGACGGGGCGCGCATCCCGCGCGAAAAGGCGAACTATCGCTCTCGCCTCGGCGAAGTGCCCACGGATCTTGAAAATGGAGCTCACGTTTAGGCTTAAGTCGGGCCGGGCCTGTCCCCCTACAGGCCGATTTTAAACGAAAAATTATCCTGGCGAAGGACCCAACCATATGCAATTGTGAATACTGCAATTGTGAATATATTCTCGGTGGAGCCCCCTACGGGGCCACGAAACGTACGAGGGGTGTGCCGAAATGGGTGTGCGGGACGCATGCGGGCACACCCACTGGGACCTTCGGTGGAGCTCCCTATGGGGCCACGAAACGTGTGAGGGGTGTGCCGAAATGGGTGTGCGGGACGCATGCGGGCACACCCACTGGGACCTTCGGTGGAGCTCCCTATGGGGCCGCGGAAACGCGTGAGGGGCGTGCCGAAATGGGTGTGGCTGACGCATGCGGGCGCGGGCACTGGGGCCTTCGGCGGAGCTCCCTATGGGGCCACGAAACGTGTGAGGGTGTGCCAAAATTGGGTGTGGCTGACGCATGCGGGCGCGACACACTGGGGCCTTCGGTGGGCTCCCTATGGGGCCACGAAACGTGTGAGGGTGGGCCGAAATGGGCGGGGCTGACGCATGCGGGCGCGGGCACTGGGGCTTCGGTGGAGCTCCCATGGAGCCACGGAACGCGTGAGGGGTGTGCCGAAATGGGTGTGGGTGACGCAAATGCGGGCGCGGGCACTGGGGCCTTCGGTGGAGCTCCCTATGGGGCCACGGAACGCGTGAGGGGTGTGCCGAAATGGGTGTGGGTGACGCATGCGGGCGGCAGCACTGGGGCCTTCGGTGGAGTTTTTACTATGGGGCCACGAAACGTGTGAGGGGTGTGCCGAATTGTGTGTGGGTGACGCATGCAGGCGGCAGCACTGGGGCGTTCGGCGGAGCTATGGGGCCACGAAACGTGTGAGGGGTGTGCCGAATTGGATGTGAGTGACGCATGCGGGCGCGGGCACTGGGGCCTTCGGTGGAGTTCCGTATGGAGCCACGAAACGTGTGAGGGGTGTGCCGGAATGGGTGTGGGTGACGCATGCGGGCGCGGGCACTGGGGCCTTCGGTGGAGTTCCCTATGGAGCCACGAAACGTGTGAGAGGTGGGCCGAAATGGGTGTGGGTGACGCATGCGGGCGCGGGCACTGGGGCCTTCGGCGGAGCTCCCTATGGCGCCACGAAACGTGTGAGGGGTATGCCGAAATGGGTGTGGGTGACGCATGCGGGCGCGGGCACTGGGGCCTTCGGTGGAGCTCCCTATGGGGCCACGAAACGTGTGAGTGGTGTATGCGGGCGCGGGCACTGTGGCCCTTCGGCGGAACTCCTATGGAGCCACGAAATCGTGTGAGGGGTGTGCCGAAATGTGGTGTGTTGCCAGCAATGCGGGCGCGGGCACGGGGCCTTCGGCGGAGCTCCCTATGGAGCCCGAAAAACGTGTGAGGGGTGTGCCCGAAATGGGTGTGGGTGACGCATGCGGGCGCGGGCACTGGGGCCTTCGGTGGAGCTCCCTATGGAGCCAACGGAACCGTGAGGGGTGGGGGCCGAAATGGTGTGGGTTGCGCGATGCGGGTCGGGCACCTTGGGGCCTTCGGTGTAGCTCCCTATGGAGCCACGAAACGTGTGAGGGGTGGGCCGAAATGGGTGTGGGTGACGCATGCGGGCGCGGGCACGGGGGCCTTCGGTGGAGTTCCCTATGGAGCCACGAAACGTGTGAGGGGTGTGCCGAATTGGATGTGGGTGACGCATGCGGGCGCGGGCACTGGGGCCTTCGGCGGAGCTCCCTATGGGGCCACGAAACGTGTGAGGGGTGTGCCGAAATGGGTGTGGGTGACGCATGCGGGCGCGGGCAGCGGGAGGAGTGAACGCGGGGCGCTGTCTCTTCAAAACGGGGACCCAACACCACAGGATGGTTGGGAATAACAAATAATCAAAAATACCCTATGATACTCAAAAATGGACAAAAAAAATCGTCGCACAAGTACGTTTTGACAATTTTTGAATATTCCCCCTGTAGAGGGACAGGCCCGACTAAAGCTTAGACGCGGCGCGCATGCTTTGCTCGCCAAGTCGCTCCCTCCTTGGCACCGCGCAGATTTCACCCAAAACTAGCGCTGCGGCCTCGGCGCGTCGAATGATCTGTCACTGGGCAATGGGGGCGGGGCCGTGCGCGACCGGGCGGTTTGTCGCCCTCACGCAAGCTTCACGCGGATTTCGCATGGAAACGGCCTTCCCCGTTGGGCGCGGCTCATGTCTCGCTCGCCGAATCGCATGACAGCGGCAGCGGCAGCGGGGCCGTGCGACAGCCAGCGAAGTGCTCTGTTCTCAACCAAGCGCAGAGCAATGTGTGTGTGCGTGTGTTTGTGTGCAAACGAGCCCTGGCACACACACACACACACACACACACACACACACACACATACACACACATACACACACACATACATAGACGCGGGTCCCAGGATTCCCCATAGTTCCCCATGTGTTCTGGATTTTCGCCTCCCGTATTTCCCCTTACTTGAGCAGGCCGAAAGATTTTTGTTCCTCTTGAGGCCCAGATGACACATGCGAAGTGCCGTTGGCTTTAGCGGATGCGGACGCAGCGATCATATCGCGCTCGCGTCGAGGTGGGGTGCGGCATCAATTATGGGAGGCTGCGGGAATTGGCCAGGCCCGCTGTGGCGCTCGAGCACCCACATGTTATGGAGGCTGCTGGAGTTGGCCGGGACAGCTCTGGCGCTCGAGCAACGACATGTTATGGGGGGGGTCGGAGAGGTGGCCAGGCCCGCTGTGGCGCTCGAGCTCCCGACTTGGGCACCGCGGTCGTTTTCACTCCTTCTCCCTCCTCCCTCGTCCGCCTCTTCCGTCCTCCCCTCATCGTCCTCCTCCCTCCTCCCTCCTCCTCCTCCTCCTCCTCCTCCTCCTCCTCCTCTCCCTCCTCGTCCATCCTACCTCTTCCTCCTCCCGCCCTCCTTATGCCTCCCTCACCCTCACTCGTCCTCCTCCTCTTCCCTCCACTCCCTCCTGTCCTCCCACCACTTCCCCCCTCCCTCCTCTTCCTCCTTCATCCGCTTTCCCCCTCCCCTCCTCCTGACTCTTCGTTTGCCCTCCTCCTCTTGCTCGTCTCTCCTCTTCTTCCTCGTCGTCCTCCTCTCCCCCCTCTCCGTCCTTCCTCCCTCATCTTCCTCTTCGCCCGCCCCTGGATGGTGTTTCCCGACTCGTCCCCGTGTGTTGTGTCTCTCGGTAGGGAAACCCCTCCCCCGTAGAATCATAGCTAGGGCTGCAGGTCTAAGGCTCCGTGGATCCATTTCCCCTTGGGTCCCATATAGTAATTATTATTACTATTATAAATTTACTCCAGCAGAAGAATTGGATCCACGAAGCTTCCACGCCAAAAAAATGGATCCATGCGTTCCCATGCAAGAAGAAAAACAAGTGTTGCACCCCTTCTGCCCTTCAGCACAGGGGCGGTGGATCCATGCGTTCCCATACAAGAGGAAAACGCTTTCGGCCTGGGGATGCATTTTGCTAGGAGTCGACGATGATTTCTGTCGGTGTGTTTTGTTATCCTCCTGAGTGTGTGTGTGTGTGCAAGAGAGGCAAAGCTGTTTCGCCGCGGCGCATGATTCGTCCTCGCTGCGCTCCTCGGAAAATCGGCCAGCCGAGAGAGGGCTGCAGGTACTCGCGCCGCAGCGCCGCGCGAGCGTTCTCTGAGACTCCGCTCCCGCCCGTTGGCGGCCGCATTCTCAAATTCGCCACGTCGTCGGAAACGGCACCACGCGCGAGGACCATCAATCCGCCAGGCAGGAGCGCGTTTCAATCTAGAGGCCTCCTAGATGGGGTCGGAGTAGATTGGGTCGGAGGATCGCGCCGCACCGCCGATACATCGGCGATGCATCGGCAATGCATCGGCGATGCATCGGCGATGCACTGGCGATGCACAAGCGACGTGGGCGACGCATCGGCGAAGTCGACGTGAAGCAAATCGGGCTCCGCATCGAGCCGCATCGGCGATGCACCGGTGATGCGGCGCGATCATCCGACAGCATCTGCTCCGACCCCACCTAGGAGGCCTAGACAGTCTCAACTTCAAGTTGCGCGAGCATTGACCACTCTGTTATGGGAAGGGCGACCTGGCTGACCTGACCTGAGTCTTATTGAGATATTGAGGCCCGATGTACGTCAAATCCACGTCGGATTTACGCCGGGTTCACGTCGGAATACGTCGGAGCTACGTCGGTTTTTGGATGGACTGACGCCAGAGCATCTCCGCGCGAGCGTCGACCCATAGCTCATAGAGCTGATGTGTGGACTAGATATTACAACTATTACGCGCCGCGCGAGGCCTCCAGAATTCGGGGGCGCGCAAAAATGTATTAGCGATCCATGGATTTGGCGCGCGGTCGCCAAATCCATGGATCCAAAATGCGGCCGGTGCCGCCTCGTTCGGCGGCTGAAATCCTCGACTTCCCATGGAAACGGGACCCGTCGCTAATCCACGCCCCCTTAATCCATGTATGCGATCGCCTGAAGGACTTCCCTGATGAAGAGTCGTACCTCTCCTCCCCCTCCTACTCCTGGGAGCAGTCGTCCTCCCCCTCCTCCTCCTCCTCCTCCTCCTCCTCCTCCTCCTCCTCCTCCTCCTCCTCCTCCTCCTCCTCCCCCTCCTCAAGGGGAGAGGCGAGGAGAGGGAGAGGACTGCGGGCACGCTCTGCCCCCCCCCCCGCGGCTCCCGCGCCAGCGCCACGCGCACCGCATCGCCGCCGGCCTCCTGCAGCGCCAGCTGCACCTCGCGCGAGCCCTGGGCGTCGCGCGACAAGCGCCAGACCTGCAGGCAGGGGGCGTCCAGTCAGACCCAACGAGGGAGAAAGGTTACAGTCGGACTTCATTGGAGAGGGCACGCGAGAGGACATCAGACCCACATTGCCACAGGAATGTAGGAAGCATGGGTCGCGAGGCACAGGATACAAGGGTACCCTTGAGCTGGCAGAGTCGACCTACCAATCCGGGCCGACTGTATGATGAGAATCCTGGAGGCCCCGCGCGGCCACTTCAGACCCAGCGCACGTCGGATCCACGTCGGGTTCACGTCGGAGCACGTCGGACTCACGTCGGATCCACGTCGATTTCCGTCTGGCTCAGATCGGAACATCGCCGCGCGAGCGTCGCCCCACATCTGACGGGGCCGGCGTGCGGACTCGATGACACAACCACTGCGCGGCGTGAGAGGCCTCCCGGATTTCCCTCACCAGACAGGGGCGAGGGAGGCTCGAGAGAACGACCAGCAGCAAGGCAGGTCCAAGGAGGAGTGGTCGGCGGAAGCGGAAGCGGAAGCGGGGGACGCGCAGGTCCAGAGGGCCAACAGCACGGCCCAGCAACGGAACGCACTCATGGGGGAGGAAGCGCAAATACCGTCGCGTTGCTGAAATAAGAAGCGCCAAATAAGGAACGAAGCCCCTCTGTGGTTTCAAAAAAAAGCATGGGTGCACGAGAAGGGCTAGAGGAACAACCACGGAAGGACGTAAGGAACATCGAGCCCCTTCCGAATCCAAACTGTTCCTTATTTCAGCGTCTTGGCTGTAGTAAGTGCTGGCAACTAGAGCTGAACGATGGTAGAATTCAGCGACCGGGGGGACCGTTGTACTGGTCACAAGGTTGTGAGACCACACGAGCATCCGCATACGGTAGGAGGCAAGAACAAGAGAAGTGCAAGCTGGGGCACCGAGCGCACAAGGCCATAATCCTGGGACGTTTGTTAATGCCATGTTGGGCTGTGTTGTGGCCCCCTGCGGCCCCTTCGGGTTTTGCACCTGCTCTTTTGGTTCTGGGGGGGAACCGATTGGAAAACTGGCTTGAAGGGTATTGGGCCGTGTTCAGGCCACTTCGAATCATATTCGGGTAGTCTTGGGCCGTCTTGGAGCCGTCTTGGGGCTGGCTCGGGGGCCATCTTAACAAAGATCTGAGGCCCTCATGGGCACTCGCGGGAACCTCCGGGGTCCGTGCCGGATACCGAGCTGAAAACAACAACAACCTAGAGGTGTCTGGCAAATTGCACTTCTCGTGGGGCGTTCCGTGGGTTATCTCGGGACACCTTGGAGCCCATCGTGGGGCCCGATAGGTTGTCTTCAAAGCCCCCTGGCCATCTCGGAGTTAATTGAGGGCCGTCTTGAAGGTGCGCTGGGGGATTCTGGCGAGACGATCAAAGAGGTGAGAGGAGGACAGGGGGGCGACAACGAACAAAACAAACAAACAAACAAACAAAGAAACAAAAAAGCAAGCAAGCAAACAAACAACAACATGATACTCCAGGCGATCCCCACCAGGGAACTGCTGCGAATAGTGTTGAAGCCATTCGCGTGGAATTAGACAGCGTGCTCTCACACCAGCGTAAGTGTAGGGTGCGTATGCAGATTCGTTTGAAAGATACCTACGCGTGCTGCATATTGTGTAATAGTTGTGTACGCCACTTGCATGTGTCATGCACATGACCGTGATATGTATGAGTGCCCCTTGCGCACGCTCGTCATGTTAGTCATGCATGATTTGGATGTGTGGTCTGTATGTCTAGTGGTTCAACGTGGAGGGGCACTTAGGAATGAAATGTACTGGTCACGTTATAGGCGTATGAAGTTTCCATATGCTCTAAATGTGAATGTGTGGTGCATGTGCTTGGTATGCGTGCTGATGTTCGAGATTGATGATTGGCACTACTCTATGGCGCATGGCGTGTTCTTGACGTAAACGACTAGTGTATGTAAGCTGCTGCTGTATGTTCTGAATGACGGAGGTTACTACGTCTACATGTATGTCTGTCATGAGTGTGTGTGTGTTCATGGTGGCGTGGCTCGATGCACGCTCTTGGTGTATGCCATTGATACACGATGATGGTGCTTGCACCTGCTGTCTCAAAATGGTGAGTGTTACTGCTGCGGCATAGTGGAACGTAAATGGTCTGGCTGTCTGTCCTTGGTGTATGTATGAATGATGCGGTTTTAGTGCGAAGGATGTATGTTGTGATGCATGCTATTGACGTGCACCTGGTGTCTGACATTGAAGTATGGTACGGGTGGCTGCTGCTGATGTACGTCCTTGCAGTCTGGTAATGGGAGATGTATGTACGGATGCATGGGATTAATCTCTGTCCTTGATCTCTGTTCTAGATGCCTGTGGACGGCGTGACGTCATGCTCGGCATACTGGGGCCTGGCAGCAGCGGATTGCAAGGCCGGCGGGTGGGCTCTTTCTTTTCATATATATGTATATATATATATATATATATATAGGTAGTTCCTTGGGCACAGATATAGATATGTCTATAGAGAGAGAAAGCTATACTATATATATATATATGTACACATACAGATATACATACATCTATATATACATAGACACATGTATATATATATATATGTGTATATATGTATAGCGAACCCAACCTACTGGCTGTGGAACGAATGCACCTGACCCATGTGGCAAATTCTTAGGGGGCAACAACGAAGCTAAAGCTCAGCCGCAGTCAAGACCCAGCTCCGATCATCTCCACCAAGTTGCGGTACGAAAAGCTGAGCTCTGCCAGGCCAAACCTACGCCAAGCTCAGGCAAGCTGGGATACGGTTACTGGAAGCTGAGACACAACAGGCCTGACAAAGCTAAGCTGCACTGAGCTGAGAACTGAGCAGTTACATCATATGGCCGACCTGATTGGGCGGATGCCTGCTTTGGTGTGAAGCGCACGTACCTGCACGTAATCACCCGTGCTGTCATACTCATCCACATCGATAATCACGGCAACTTACCTACGTACAAAAGCCCTCTGAAGTGGCTGCAGGGAACACGCGAATGGCCAACAACATTCCAACACATACGCAAACACCTTGATACAAAACGCCACTCATGGTAGCGCGTGGTAGCAAGGGTGTGCTACTCATCACCACGCAGCTCGGACAAAAACAAAAGCCCGTGTCATCGAATAGGGCACTTTGATTCGGCGACAGCGGGGAAAACCCAAAAACATGTTACAAACGTCTTGCGACGGCTTGCTCTACAACGACATTGCAGGTAGCCGTCAGTCAACTCACCAAACAGAAGTGACCAAATCAGAGCGATGCGGAAGATCCGCTTCGGCCAGGGGCCAAGGGATAGCCGAAACACACGAGCCAAAAGACGTTCCATACACGAGCCAAAATACACGAGCCGAAATACACGAGCCAACATATACGAGGGAAACCCTCAATACACAAGCCAAAATACGTGCAAGATGGATCCAGATGAAGTCCCTTGTTCTTGTTCGGCGCTTCGACATTGGGCGGAAGTGGGGGGGGAGAGGGAGGGCCTGGCTCCGGACCTTTGCTTCGTGCATCCCACGGGGGAGACTCCGCCGGTTTGAAACAGGCACCAGAAACAGCTAAGATCAGCTCCATGGGGGGGAGGGCACGTGGGCCCGCGCCGATCGGCAAAACAGTGAACAAGAAAATGATCACATGCACAGGACGGTATTGCATCCTGCTTTGGGTCTGAGTTTGGGGGGGTATGTTCGGCTGCCCCTGAGCCTCCTCTGGCACTTACGTCGAGGGCTCAGGGCACATCGGTCGGCATGGGGGCAGCGAGGAGGAGGAGGAGCCCCTCCTCATCCCTCCTTCTCCTCCTGCTCCTCCTCATCGTCCTCCCTCCGTCCTCCCGCCCTCCTCTCTCCATGGTCTCCCCTGCCTCCCTCTTCTTTCGGACGCCCTCGGAAAGAGGGAGTGAGGGGGGAGGATGGAGAGAGGAGGGCGGGAGGATGGAGGGAGGAGAAGGAGGAGGAAGGATGAGGAGGGAGCGGCTCCTCCTCCTCCTCCTCTCCTGCCTCCTCCTCCTCCTCCTCCTCCTCATCATCATCATCATCATCATCATCATCATCATCATCATCATCATCATCATCATCATCCTCATCATCATCATCTCACATCATCATCATCATCATCTCATCATCATCAGCAGAGCGCAGCAGCAGCTCATCATCATCATCATCATCATCATCATCATCATCATCATCATGATCATCATCATCACCATCTCGCATCCTCATCCTCATCCTCAACCCTCATACCTCATCCTCATCCTCATCCTCATCCTCATCCTCATCCTCATCCTCATCCTCATCATCCTCATCCTCATCCTCATCCTCATCCTCATCATCAGCATCATCATCATCACCATCATCATCTTCATCATGATCATGATCATCATCATCATCATCATCAGCATCATCATCATCAACATCAGCATCAGCATCACCATCATCATTGTGATCATCAGCATCACCTTCATCATCATCATCATCATCATCCTCATCATCATCATCATCTGCATCAGCATCAGCATCATCATAAGCATCAGCATCGTCATCATCATCAGCACCATCAGCATCATCAGCGTCATCACCATCATCAGCATCATCATCAGCATCGTCATCATCAGCATCATCAGCAGCATCATCAGCATCACCCCTCCTCCTCATCCTCCTTCTCCTCCTCCTCCTCCTACTCGCTGCCCCCGTGCCCGAGTGCCCCGAGCCCTCTTGCATGAGGGTTCCTCCCCCTCCAGCATGGCTGCAACAAGTTGCGGACGAGCGCCACCGCGAGGCTACGCGCGCACGGCCCGACGACTGCTGGGAGCGGGCACCCAAGACTGAGAGGGGCCAGGCCAGGCTGGCCCGAGGGCGGCGAGGAGGAGACACGCGGATCGACGTCGATTCCCATGACAGGGCTGAACCTAAACGGTGCTTTTCCGTTTCGTTTTGTTTTCGTTGTCCCTCGTTTTGTTCTCAATCCACCTCTACCGCAGAACGAAGTCGAAACGAAAACGGCCCACGAAGTCGCCAAAACACCGTTTAGGTCCAGCCCTGTCCCATGACATGTTTGGATTGTCAAGATAACCCGTTACAATCGTCCTCATTATCGACTGTCAGAATATATCCCTGGGCGTTTTCGATTGTCAAGATACCCCGTTACAATCGTCCTCATTATTGATTCCACGATCCGATCTCACAATCGATCTCCCATAGACGTCGGTTCCCGTGGACACGTTCAGAATACAGTCATCTCTCTGACCTAGGGAACGATGAATGAGGAACGAAACCCCTGTTTCTCAAAGGAAATCTACGAAATACAAGAAACGGCCTGGCCCCTCATCGACAAGACGAACCCGCGCGTCCAAAATCTGAAGGAACACCAGGGAGGCTCGCCGACAAAAAGGTAGCGGAACGCATGTAAACCAAATGAAGGACCGAGTCCCCTTTGAAAAGGAAGTGGTCCTTATTCAATCCGCTCACTGTAGATCCCTGGACGTTTTTCGATTGTCAACATATCCCGTTACAATCGTCTTCATTATCGATTCCACTATAAATCTCACAATCGATCACAGTATCCATAGCAATGATTCTCAAACCATTCACTGCTTGGGTTGTTTCCTCCGGCGTAATCTACCCCTGGACGTTTTCGGGATGCCTCCAAGGGCCTAACCTGCCGTTTCTTCCCGAATCGCGTTCTGACGGAGGGCTCCTAATGTTATGTTGCTCCCATCGTACCTAAGGACCACATCCCAGAAATAATTTCAAATACCCAGAAACGTATCGAAACAGTGTCAAACGAGTATCGCCTCCCAGGGCCCGACACGTGAAAACCCTCAAGTGTCGGTACTGTCTTGGTGCAGGAAATTCTCTTTGGTGATCAAGGCTATAGTAGGTTGGAACATCATAATCCGAATGCTCGTAGCAAAAAAAACACCGAAGGGTCCACGTAGGGGGCGGGGAGCCCGAGATCGCACGGTCCAGCAACCGATTCGCCCGAGGCGTCCTCACGAAAATTCTTCGGGAACCGTGCTCGCGCCTCCATGCCGTTTAAGCGTTTGGTCCAGACGGCCAAGAGCCTCTTGAAAACAGACACCAAGGTTTCGGTGGCAACTCATCGCAGCCTCCCATACCATCTTGCTGGTTCTTGCAGATCGACGCTGGTCGACGCCAAATCGACGCTAAGTCGACGCTATACCGCTATACATACATACATACATACATACATACATACATACATACATACAGACAGACAGACAGACAGACAGACAGACAAACAGACATGCATACATTCATCCATCCATCCATCCATCCATACGTACATACATACATACATACATGCATGCATGCATGCATGCATGCATACATACATACATACATGCATACATACATACAGACAGACAGACATACATTACATACATACATACATACATACATACATACAGACAGACAGACAGACAGACAGACAGACAGACAGACAGACAGGCATACATACATACATACATACAGACAGACAGACAGACAGACAGACAGACAGACAGACAGACATACATACATACATACATACACTACATACACTACATACATACATTCAAACATTATACGGATGTTGCTGTAGCTTCGACGAGAAACACAATGTTGGGGTAAATCAGTGTTGTCATCGATCCCCTACTCGATCTATTCGGGACCCCGCAACCGGGACTCCGATCAGGGAGACGCATCCAGGAGATCTGCGGCCGTGGGCCGAGACCCTCTCCAGTCTTCATCCCCTCCTCCTCCTCCCCATCCTCCTCCTCCTCCTCCTGGCTCCTCCTCCTCC